TCGTTGGAAACCCTACACAGGGTCGTTATGTGTCAGAAGTGACTCAGTGACACTTAACAACAACATCACAAATGAAGACTCCACAATTAAAAAAAAAAACAAAAAAAACCACAGTATTAAACGGCTCATACCTTTTAACTACAATGCATTTAAATTAGAAATAGACAACAAAGAGATAATGTTTTTAAAGTCTGTATTTTTGGAAATTTTTTAAAAATAGAATACCTACTCCTGTAGCATCAGCACTGGACTGCGAACTACAAGGTCAGTGATTCAAACCCACCAGCTGCTCCTCGGAAACCCTATCTATATAGGTCACTATGAGTCAGAACCCGCCAGATGGCACTTAACAACAACAGTTACTAGTGTGATAGAGACGATCTTAGAACTGGATGACAGGAACTCCTACAATAGCCAAAACTGCACTCAAAAGGAAATTTGAAACCTTGAATATATTTATTACAGAGCCAAGAAGGATTGAAAATAAATGAGCTAGCCATTTAGCTTGAAAAGCTTCAAGAGTAAACTAATGAAAAGATAAGAAAAAGCACAGAAATTGCCTAGAAGAGTCTGGCACATGGGCGAATGGTACCTCAGTGGTTGGCCTATGGTAGGTGTTCACTAAATACTTATTGAAGGAATGAATAAAACAAAGCAAACAGGGGATCACCTCTGGAAAGACTAATAACATGAGAGAAAGACCCATATCAGTAAGATTAGGACCAAAAGGGAAAGAAGTGCAGACAACAGTGGTTCACGTATGTTAGGGTTACCAAGAGTCCTGTTCACCACTACTGCACTAGAGCCAAGTTCAAGAAATGAGTCTTGATTTGGTTTTAGAACCAGGCCCTAGTTAAAGATTCGGTTTGCTAAGGATTAGCATATTAGCCTCTCTATGGAATGTGTATGGTGGTGGTGTGCCACGGAGCCATTCCGACCCATAGCGACCCTATGTAGGGTTTCCAAGACTGTAAGTCTTTACAGGAGCAGAAAGTCTGATATTTTTCCCATGGGACGGCTGGTAGTTTCGAACTGCTGACTTTCAGGTTAGCAGCCCAACTCGTAACCGCTACGCTACCAGATAAATGTGTATACAGTCTCTAAACCCCCAGAGAAAAAGAAGGGGTACAACACATACATGTGTGTGCAAATAGGTATGTTTTGAGGAAAGTTGTAAGATAGTTAAAAAAAAAAAAAAAAAGTCCAGGTATCTTGAGTGTGTTCTTGTTTTGGAACCCATTTATTTCATTGGGATTTCGTCTCTCCTTTTTGGAAGAAGTTGACTGTCACTCGTTTTATATAAAAATGATGTAACTAGAGTATTTTCAAGCCCTTCACAAAGGCAGCCATGTCTGTTTTGCCACAGCCCTGGCGAAGTCAGCATTTCTAACTCTGCGTGCTCTTCCTGTTTGAAAACTCTTGAGCCTTTTCCTTTTGTGGGTCCTTCTTTCTACAGAAAGGTCATCCCTGATGTGGTGGCATGAATCCAAGATAAACTGTTCCTAAACCATTGAAATGGAAAACCAGGACCTCCGTATTGGAGATGTGGAAAACCTTGAAAAGAACCCAAAAGGGAAACAATATAGCCACCACACCACAGTCAACCTTGTGAAGTAATGGACAAAACAGACCGTAAAGAAAGGTATCATTTTCAGAAGTTTCCAGTGATCACCAGAATGGGCCAAAGAAAGTACAGAGGAAACCACAAATAAAGGATATAAAGATCCGTGAAGAAGCATGTCAAAAGTCTCACTGGCAAAATGGATAATGGGGATCGTGTGCCTTGAAACCCTCCTAAACTGACGATGATGTATAGGCTAGTCAGATGGTGTGGTCTTGATGCCAGTGTTTGATTGAGTTGTCTTCTCTCAGTGGAGAACTACACTAAAAGAAGTCTTTCAAAATGATACACAGGTAGTATTTCACTTTAAGTGACTTGACACCTGGTACTTAGAGTAGGAATAATGTCCAAGCCAGGCTTTTCTTGGACTGCAGAACAACAGAAGAGGTAGAAGACAGGTATGGAGCGAGTGAACTGAATTCTGGGTTGGGATGTGTTCATTCTTTAGGTGCTAGCTGTGAGCAGGTCCCAAGGAAAAGATACTGCCTTAGAAGAGACAAGCTTTGACTATTAATGGAATATTTCTCATTTTCTTGCTTTACATCTCCTAGACCCTAGCACCATTACCAAGAAGAGCAATTAGGAAAGTCACAGGACTATGCACAGTTACAACTCGTCTTGGCTTTGAACTCTTAACTTTTGTGTAATGTAAAGATAATAGCACCTTTCCTATCTTTTTATTATTGCTAATTGTAGAACTTTTGGTACTTTTGTAACTTCAGTGTTTTCTAAGTTCATCTTTAACCACCTCTTCATATTCCGTATGTACTATACCCAGAAAATGGGTAACAGAGCTGCATCAGACACCTGGTTCACTTTGCAAATTCAGCATTGAGAGAGAGAAAAATTATTAATTAAATCAAGTGGATGATCCCACCTGATGTTCCACTCAGGAAGAGATTGCAGATAGGTTGTTCCTCTGGTCAGTCTTACTTCCCACAAGCCTCTCTGCTAGGAAGTCCATTCCATTGCACTGTGTGTTATTCACAGGGTTAAGAGTCTTCATGTTTAATACTCATGACCCCTTAAGACAAACCAACTCCTTCACTCCGTGTACAATTAAAGAAATGGATTCATCCGATGCTAGCAGGAAAAAAAATGTTTATGCTTGATTTATGAATAGATCATTTGTCAATCTCAAGTGAGACCTCCTGGTAAAGGACTTTAAGGGTAATTTTGACTTTGAAATTTTTGCCTTGTATCCTTGTATGTTGTAAATTAATGACCTTTTGTCTTCGATTGCAAAGTATTCCATATTGATGTTAGAGTCAGTGGCTCGTCCAATTTGGTATTTCTATATATAAGGAACCCTGGTGCCTCAGTGGGCTCATTACACATATTCACTTAGCACTGGGCTGTTAACTGAAAGGTCAGCATTTTGAACCAACCAGCTGTTCCACAGATAAAGATGAGGCTCTCTGGTTCTATAAAGATACACAGTCTATGAAACAGTTCTGCTCTGCCCTGTAGGGGTCGCTATAGGTCAGAATCGTCTCAACAGCAGTGGCTATATCTGTGTAGGTTATAGTGAATGCAGCGAGCGTCAGTCACCATTGCTAAGTGAAAATACACTGTGCTAGGATATGCTTGCAGTTCACCATCGAATTTAACCTTCACAATAAACCCTCTGAGATTGTTGTGAAAGGCACAGCAGCTGCCTTCACGAGAACCACGGGAACTTGTACATGCCTTTGACATACCTTCTTACAGAACTGTGTCATGAAACACAATTATTTCTGGGGAAGCAGCAAAGAATCACTGCAGGAAGAATCAGCACATGCGAATTAACATCCAGCCTCTGGACAAGCTGTGTTTGAAAGTTGGGCAACTAAGTGACTACCAGATTCTCCAAGTGTACCTCATACCTCCTTCCTCTTCATCTGCCAGCCAGTGTGCCTCTGACCTCTGGTTATATGAATCACATGGGCACCTGAGACTCTATAAAAATCCCTAGTCCCCAAATCCTATCCTAGACCTACTGAATCAGAATCAGCAAGGGAAGGACCTAGAAGAATGTCTATTTAAAAAGTGACCTCAAACAGTGCTTTACTAGGCTCCCCACTCCACTTCACTGTGCTGATGTGTAAAGGTTCCTTGCACATTCCGAGGCCCCATCTGCCTCAGAATTGCTAGGCGTGCTATTTATTCTCCATTGAAAGCTCTGTCTCCCTCAGTAGTATTCTTAGCTAATGCCTACGTGTCATAGCTTCATGACTTGGCTTACATGTGCTTTTTTTCAGAAAGACTACCCTTGACCACTACCATCACCGTATCTAAATTAAGTTCCTCCGTTTCATTTCATAACACATAGCATTTGTCACATAGCTTGTATCTTGTGTATTTGCTTAACATAGTGCCAAGTACAGATAAAGCTTTAATAGTTTTTGAGTGCATGAATGAATAGAAAAGTAGATGGTTGAGCTAGAGATGCTGAAGATTGCATTGGATACTACTCAACAACCAAAATCGAACTGAGCATAGGAAAACTTTAACCTCACAAGTAAAAATTTTGTATATCAACTGTTGACCTTTTGGAATACATGGGTGTTTGTTATTGGAGGTGGGTGGGGAGGAGTGTGCTGTCCAGCACACTGTAAGATGTTTAGCATCGTCCCTGGTACTCTCTATTTACCATCTAGTTGCTAGACAGTTACGAGATGTTCCTTCAGGGGCAAAACTCATCTGTCCTCCCATCCCCATTAAGAACCATTGCTCTACATGGACTTTGTTGTTGTTGAGTTCCGACTCTTAGTGACCCTGTATAGGATTTCCATGGACACCTGGTGGGTTTGATCCACTAACCTTGTGATTAGCAGGCCAGTGCTTTACCACATTGCTACATGAGGACTCCTCATGAATGTTTGCTTAAAAAAAAGCACATACATTTTCTAGCAACTTGACTTATTCCACAAATACGCACTGAGTGCCTGCCATGTGCCAGAAGGAGCTCTGGTGACACTGCAGTTTAAGCATGGGGTCCTAACTGAAAGATCAGCAGTTTGAACTTACCAGCCACTGTCTAGGAGAATGAGGAGGCCGTCTGCTTCGGTAATGATTTAGCATTGCAAACCCTATGGGGTAGTTCTGTCCTGTCCTATGGGGGTGGTAAGTTTGAGCTTATCCTGTTCACTGGAGACATCGAAGGCATCAACACCCATGCTTTCTTGAAGCTGTATTTCAGTGGCGAGAGATGGACAATACATTCAAGCTATGTAACACTTCAGAATAAGGGGCTGGTCCAGTCAGAGATGTCCTCTCTCATCAGGCGACATGTGCACTGTATCTGGAAGAAAACAAGAGACCGAGCCACACAGCAGAGGCACGTTGTGATGTCCCCGGAGGGCTTCTGCAGGTCTGACCACACTCCTTTGTTTTTTAGAGGCTCCTCGGCTGAAGGCCTGCTGAACGGACTCCAGAGCAGTCTTAACCCCGCATCCTTTCTGCCCATCACCAGCTCCACAGGTTAGTAGGTACCGCGGACCTGGGCTGGGTACCTTCTCTCATCTGCCCCTGAAGAGAGCAGAACGTGAATGGGCAAAGTATCCAGGCTTTGGAAATACTGACAAACAAGCACATTTTTGTACATTCTTCTTTCCAATGCTCTTGAGAGGTTAAGACAGAATGGCTTTCTGAATCTAGTTAGGGGTAGATGGGATGTCCCCGTGTCTCCATCTGACAGAATACTCTAGAATGCCACCAGGTTCACAGCCTTTAATAGAACTCCTCTCACCTTGACTGGTATGTCAGTGTTGAGCTAGCATCCCCTCACGTGCCTCTCACTTAATCCTCTAACAGCCCTGAGAAGGAGATCTCACAAAGGCAATGGACTTGTTTGTGGGAGGTGATCATGACTGCAGAACGTGACTTGGGTCTTTGACCTTATTTTGTACTGTTGGCACAGTTTATAGACAGGTGGTCATTGAGGCCCTGAGCCCTCCCAGCTCAGTACTTACAGGGACAATTTGCTGTGAGTTGTTATTGTTGTTAAATGCCATCAAGTTGGTTCCCACTCATAGTAACCCTGTGTATCATTTGCAAGGATGTACATCTCTTTGGGAGCAAAAAGCCTCGTCTTCCTCCCTCAGACTGCTTGTGGGTTCGAACCACTGACCTTATGGTTCACAGTACAGTGTTCATCATACAGAGCCACAGCTATAAGTAGTAATTCATAAACTATACTCTTCAGTTATCAAAGTTGAAAGGAAGTCACTCTGATTGAATTTCACAGATGTTTATTATAGAGTTCCTACTTATGGAGACAGAAGTCCTGATGTGGTTCTGTAGGATAAGGACTGGACTGTTAACCAAAAGGTTGCTGGTTCAAAATCGCCAGCTGCTCCTCAGAAACTCTATACAAGGTCACTATGGGTCAGAACCAACTCAACAGCATTTAACAACTATGGAGACAGGAACATGTATCATCAAGCTGAACGGGACAGTTCCCACTGCCAGAAAACATAGAGACTCTAGGAGATTAAAAAACAAAAGTCAAGAGGAAGTGTGCAACAGGGTAGGTGAATGCCAGGGAGGTACTAGGGGCGCATAAAGGTGCCCTGGAAGAGCAATCATTAAACACTCGGCTGCTCAGTGGAAGATTGGTGGCTCCTAATAATCTACTTCTAAGACGCTTGCAGCCTGGAAACCCTTATGGGCAGTTCCTCTCTGTCCCAGGAGGTTGATATGAGTTAAAAATTGATCTGACAAAACACAACAACAGGGGCACATAGAATACCAATAAACAACACTGGAGCAGTATGTTATGGGTCAGGCATGGTCCTGAATGCAGTTAACTCATTTGTCCACAAAACAGGCATATGCTGTAGGTGCCATATTCCCATTTTATAGGTAAAGAAATGCAAAACCGATGATGAGACATCTAAATTCTCACAGCTAGTAAATGCCAGGGGCAGTATTTGAACCCACGCACTCTGGCTCAGGCTCCTTCCAGTTATAAGGAGCTCCGGGAAGAACATTGGAATGATGCGGGCAAAGGCCCGGAGGCAGTGAGAGCAGAGGGAGGCCCTGTGAGTCAGTGAGGCTGAGAGTACCAAGAGGAAAGACCGTAGAGGTAGCAGGACCAGCTTACCAGTGTCTGAGTGCTCAGTAGAGCAACAGGGACCCACTGAGGAGTTTCAGGTGCATTTGTGGAGGATGTTGTTGTTAATTACCATCAAGTCAGTTCCGACTCATAGCAACCCTATATAGGGTTTCCAAAGAGCAGCTGGTAGGTTTGAACTACCAACCTTGTGGCTAGCAGTCCAGTGCCTATCTTACAGCACCACACCAGAGAAGGGTCTTATGTATGTCTTATGACTATAAGACCTCAGAATATCCAATGACTTTGGCTGTATCATGGGGATTATTACATGTATCTTGTAGGCTTATTGCAAGGATTAAATGAAGTAATATATATGAAGAGCTCTGTAACTCTACCCAGGTCAGGTAACATTGTAATAAGAGTCTAAAGAGTTTGCTCTCCTCTTAAAATGAGAGCCTGAATTAAAAAAAAAAAAAAAATTGATGCATATCTTCTCCACCTTTCTTCAAAAAAGAAAACAATGGTGTTTATTTCAACCTGGAAGTATTATGGACTGAGAAGTAGAGTCTTAGAGGATCATGGGCTACGTGGGAAGATTTCAGTGAGTCCCAGAAAGTACAGCTCCTGTCGTTCTTCAGATGGTTTCAGATAGAAAACTCTAGAGAGCCTAGGAGATTCAGCAAATCCTGTCTTTTTAATTTGCTATTTGGTAAAGCATTCTAATTAACAAACTCTGCATTAAGTTGAACTCCCCTTTCTGATGATGAAAGGGGAATTGGCAGGCTCTTGACCGTGAATTAATATTTACTGGCTATTGGTGAAGAGCCAACCATCCTGATGTGGTATCAGCATAAAAAACCAGAGCAAGGAGAAGTTGTACTTCTTCCTACCTTCTAATAGCTGCCTTTTCTCTTTGTTGTTCCCTTAATGAAACAAGTTTCTTCTCATCTTGTTAAGCCTGTTGTTTACTGCTATTGACACTCAATGAATCTGGGCCTCTCAGCTCCCTTGAATTTGTTTCTTCCCCAGTACTTTCCTGGTATTCCTGACCCTTTGTTAAAGAAAACTGATGAACATGATACTGGAAGCTTCCAACATTTTCCATAGTTAAAACATAAACATTTTACCTTCACTAGTATAAGGAGCTCTGGTAGCGTAGTGGTTACAAATCGGGCTGCGAACCACAAGGTCAGCAGTTTAAAACTACCAGCTGTTCCGCGGGAGAAAGATGAGGCTTTCTGCTCCCGTAAAGATTTACAGCCTCGGAAACCCTGTACAGGGTCGCTGAGAGTCGGAACCGACTCCACGGCACACAGACACCACCACCAGTATAATAGCAATGAACCTTTTGCTACAGTTATTAAGCAACCAGCAAGTAACTGCCTGGCACTCCACTGTTTCCACTCTAAATCATGTGTTTTCCTGCATTCCAAGTAGGATTAAAGGCATTATCCCAGGCACTTAGAAGGGTGTCCTATAAAAAAGAGAAAGTTATGTTGCAAGTAGAACATTTTTCTTTAAAACATTTAAGAAGGATGACCCCATCCTAAGTAAAAAGGTTTGTCCTTCTCCGTGGGTCTTAGGAAGTTGTGCTAAGATAAGAATTCCTAAACAGACATTGGAAGATATTTTGTCCATCTGGGCCAGTTAATTCTGTTGGTTAAACATGGCATTAGCAAATGTTTGCTCCCTTGCCCCCCTAACCATTCTCCTAAATCAGGACCTTAAAGGGGTGTGCCTTCATTTCTCTGACAATCTTTGTAAGATGTGAGTGGTTTCGCCCATGGCATTGCTGAGAAACAGCTGAGTCCATGCTGTCTGGTGGTGGCTGGTGACAACCATTTTATTATGAGCATTGTGAAGGGATCATGGCTGTCCCAGTGAGTGGTGAGTCTGCTCCGTGAATGATGGTCTTTGATGTCCTTAGCTCAGGTATATATTGTTGTTGTTAAGGGCCATCAAGTTGATTTGGACTCATGGAGATCTTATAGAGGGTTTCTGAAGAATGGCTGGTGGATATGAACCGCCAGCCTTGTCATTAGCAGTCCAGTGCTTATCCCACAATGCTAAAGTCAAAAAGTAATGTTGTAAAACCATAGAGACCTTTATTAAACAAACATACTGGAATGTGAAGCTACTGTCTCTCAACATCTCACCCGTCCAGACCTAGACGCTTCTGAAGACAGTGTTTCCATCTTCTAACCCTTCCCTGAAGAATTCTGTGTCCTTTGATGAATACTATGTCAAATTATAGTTTGAGCATCTTTGAGAGACTCACTGTTGCTCAAATGCTCCTGTTCAATGTTCCTTGAGTTTGGGGAACAAAAATGTCGAAAAGGGCAAGGTTGGGGCTTTTGAGGGTGGAGGGGGTGAGGTTTCCCAACAAAATCCTCCTAGGACAGCACTTGCTATCCTTGAAGAATGAATAGGTGTATTCTGATGTAAAGAGAAACAAACTCTTCAACACAAACTTCTTGGCCTTTTTTTTTTTAATTTTTTTTTACCAATACTGTTTTCAATATTCTAAAAGTCTCTTCCTAACAAGCCCCCGTGATTGTCCTGTGGCCATTGAGAAAATTTCAAGATTACCCCTTCTGAGCAGACCTCTCTGCCTTGACTTTAAGTGGCTCAACAGATTCCCTCTGAAGCCACTGTTCTCATTGGACTTTTTTTTTTTTTTTTTAAGGCACCCCAACAAGCCTAAGACAAGTGTATTACTGAGAACTTGTCTGTAGCCATCCACTGATGGAGAGATAAATTTAAACACTTTGGGTTTGGAATAAACTCGAGACATGCATGAACGGGATGCCTAATAGTAATACTTTTTGACTCGCCCTCGTAATCTGAGTTTGCTATGGAAGGAAAGACATAGAGTCAGCAAATATGGAAATTTGAGAAGGAGACTAGGGTGGAGGCCTTTGGCTCCAATCCAGTGCCATTGGCCTGCCTTCTTTATAACCGTGGTGTATGAATGCTGAACTGCTGGCGGGGAACTAAAATAGCAGGGAACAACGCATTAAGATACCTGGTGTTTCTCTGCTGCTTCTTCTTTTTCTTCTTCGCTGTGTAAACCATTGTTGTAGGGGTCAGAAGCCACAGCCAGCTACCCTACCCTCTACTTAACTCTTTCAGTTGTCCTGGAACTCCTCCCCACTTTTCTAAAGCTCTTTTTGATCTGTTGCTGGTGGAAAAAAAACCTTTCCACCTTTTGAAATCCAGGGAGGAATTTCCTTTTCAAGAAATGAGAAGCAGTGGTCTCATCAAATGCTCATTGTCTGGGGCCCTTGGTAAATACACTTGAGCATTGGCGCTCCTGCTGGGCTCCTTGTGGTTCTGCCTGCTCACTTTCTCTCAGTGAGACATTCCTATGAAAGAAACCCGGAGGAGAGCACTGTAGTAGTGCAATGAAATCATTTGCCTGGCAGCTCT